GTATATCTGGGTATGGTGCCGTGATGGAGTGTGTCTCGGTGATCGGTGGGTCTGGGTGATGGGGGAGTGTCTGAAGATGCCTGGAGATGGGAAATGTATGAGTGATGGGGGAGTGTCTGCGGGGGTGTATGGGTGATGGAGAGTGGCTGGGAAGCGTATGGGTGATGAAGAGTGACTGGGTAGGGTATGGCTGATGGGATTGTGTAATCAAGTAACAACAGGTTAACAACAATGTTTAGAGTTTGGAGGTTTTCTTCTTCATTGATTTTGATTGTTGCCGCCGGAGGCGGCTAGTTTATTGTGCACCCCATACTCATCCTGTGAGCGGTAGCGCAAAAAGCATTACAGAGGGCACAAAAGGTTTTTATCAGACCTCACCTTAGATAATTACATAAACAATTTCATCTATCCTTCACACCTTATAGTTACAACGTCAGCTAGTTACAGAGAAAGTGCTATTTCAAGAGCTATATATTTACAGTAAGTCATTATACATTAATGGTAGGATAACCTGATTATAGGTGGTTGACGGCCTGTCTGTGGCCATTACGGCGGTAGAGGGTGGTGGTAGTTGTAGTAGTAGTAGTAATAATGGTGGTAGTACTAGTAGTTGCAATTGTAGTTTATAAGAACATAAGAATGAAGGTAACTGCAGAAGGCCTATTGGCCCATACGAGGCAACTCCTGTTTATATCCACCCAAGACGGTTGTTATAATGGTGGTAGTAATAGTAGTAATAATGGTAGTAGTAATAATGGTGGTGGTAGCAGTAGTTGTTGTTGTTGTCGTCGTAGTTGTAGTAGTGGAAGTAGTGGGAGAGTAGTAGTTGTAGTAGTAGTAGTAGTAGTAGTAGTAGTAGTAGTAGTAGTAGTAGTAGTAGTAGTAGTAGTAGTAGTAGTAGTAGTGGTGGTGGTGGTGGTAGAAGTAGTAGTGCATAAATGTATAAATGGTGGAAATGAATAGATGGTGGAAATAGTAGTAGTAGTAGTAGTAGTAGTAGTAGTAGTAGTAGTAGTAGTAGTAGTAGTAGTAGTAGTAGTAGTAGTAGTAGTAGTAGTAGTAGTAGTAGTGGTGGTGGTGGTGGTGGTAGAAGTAGTAGTGCATAAATGTATAAATGGTGGAAATGAATAGATGGTGGAAATAAAGCAAGTATCGGACGTTGTGACTCCAAATTAGTTGTATTGCCACTCATATGTTTATTCTTCAGCTTTAGCGTGCAGTTGTAAGTCCTCCCATTGACATTATGCAGTTCAGCTTCATAGTCACTGTGAAGTACTGTGATTACAAGTTCAGTTGACTGTGAGAAGATGACAGTCACGTGAATTTGAAGGATTTATATGTACTTACTTATATAAAGGATTTATAAGTACATATGTTCTTTAAGACGAGTATGTTTTCACAGTATACCTTCCCAGTAAACCAGTTCTGAGTGTATCACTTTTATTAGGTATCTTAGTATATATGTTGTATATGTTGTATTTGTGTCTATAGCGTATCATGTATAATTTGCCATATAGAATAAGTTGCCGTAGTACATCTGTTGTTTAATTTGCCATAGTGTCATGTTGCATACTTTGCCATAGTCAATTATACATATACTTGCTAATGAGGACTAACAGAAATATATCTAAGGGCGGTTCGCAGTGGGATTTAATTTGTTAAACTAATGTAAACATAACTTAAATCCAAAAATCCGCATAATTTTAATTTTAATATATATTAAATGTTACCTCAGAGAATGATATAAACAAGTTAAAAAAAATATCTTAAAGGATTTAGAAGCCTAATTTTCAATTAAACTTAAAATAAAAATTAAAAAGTAAATAGTACTAAAATAGCACTAAAGGCTCGAAACGAATTCATCGAGGAGTCCCTAAACCAAAATCATCCAGGACTCCCTTAAACCTAAATCATCCCACAATATCGGGAACTCCTCCTAAAATACTACTCTCCTGCACTAGCGAACTTTAACCACTCCGCCAATCCAACAGTTCCTTTGAAAACGCCCTAAACAATTGTACAAATAAGAGTGAACGCAATCTGGACGATATTGAGGTGGAGTATCGTTGGCTCTTCCAGCTACAGTGGTGATGGTGATGGTTGGTGGTAATTGCATTAAAGGAGGGACTAGTTCTGCCTAATGGGGACGACTGCCAGTTATGTGAGACGTCCGACCACCACTGGTCTAGACTGGATACAGCCCAGTGAGTGACGCTAGCGAGGGAGGGAGGGAGGCAGGTAGAGTGTGTTAGAGTTTAACACAAGCAAATGTAATGTAATGAAGATAGGTGTAAGGAGCAGGAGGCCAGTTACAAGGTATCATTTGGGAGATAAAATTCTTCGAGTCAGAGAGAGAGAGAAGGTCCTGGGGGTTGATATCACGCCAGACCTGTCCCCTGAATTCCATATCAAGAGGATAACATCAGCAGCATATGCCAGGTTGGCTAACATAAGAACAGCATTTAAATACTTGTGTAAGGAATCATTCAGAACTTTGTATACCACCTACGTCAGACCAATCCTGGAGTATGCAGCCCCAGCATGGAGTACATATCTAGTCAAGCATGAGGCTAAACTGGAAAAGGTTCAAAAGTTTGACACCAGACTAGTATCCGAGCTGAGAGGTATGACCTACGAAGAGAGACTACGGGATTTAAACCTCACGTCACTGGAAGACAGAAGAGTTAGAGGGTCATGATCACCACGTACAAGATTCTGAGAGGAATTGATGGGGTGGATAAAAAACTATTTACTATTTAACACAAGGGGCGCACGCACTAAGGGACACAGGTGGCAATTGAGTGCCCAAATGAGCCACAGAGATATTAGAAAGAACTTTTATTAGTGTCAGAGTTGTTGGCAAATAGAATGCATTAGGCAGTGATGTGGTGGAGGCTGACTCCATACACAGTTTCAAGTGTAGATATGATAGAACCCAGTAGGCTCAGGAATCTGTACAGCTGTTGATTGACAGTTGAGAGGCGGGACCAAAGAGCCAGAGCTCAACCCCTGCAAGCACAAATAGGAGAGTACAAATAAATAAGTACTTCCCATTACCACAGCAGCTATCACACTCCCCATTACCACAGCAGCTATCACACTCCCCATTACCACACCAGCTATCACACTCCCCATTACCACACCAGCTGTCACACTCCCCATTACCACAGCAGCTGTCACACTCCCCATTACCACAGCAGCTGTCACACTCCCCATTACCACAGCAGCTATCACACTCCCCATTACCACAGCAGCTGTCACACTCCCCATTACCACAGCAGCTATCACACTCCCCATTACCACAGCAGCTGTCACACTCCCCATTACCACAGCAGCTATCACACTCCCCATTACCACAGCAGCTATCACACTCCCCATTACCACAGCAGCTATCACACTCCCCATTACCACACCAGCTATTACACTCCCCATTACCACAGCAGCTATCACACTCCCCATTATCACAGCAGCTATCACACTCCCCATTACCACACCAGCTGTTACACTCCCCATTACCACACCAGCTGTCACACTCCCCATTACCACACCAGCTATCACACTCCCATTACCACAGCAGCTGTCACACTCCCATTACCACACCAGCGTCACACTCCCATTACCACACCAGCTGTCACACTCCCCATTACCACACCAGCTATCACACTCCCCATTACCACAGCAGCTGTCACACTCCCCATTACCACAGCAGCAATCACACTCCCCATTACCACAGCAGCTGTCACACTCCCCATTACCACAGCAGCTATCACACTCCCATTACCACAGCAGCTATCACACTCCCCATTACCACAGCAGCTATCACACTCCCCATTACCACACCAGCTATTACACTCCCCATTACCACAGCAGCTATCACACTCCCCATTATCACAGCAGCTATCACACTCCCCATTACCACACCAGCTGTTACACTCCCCATTACCACACCAGCTGTCACACTCCCCATTACCACACCAGCTATCACACTCCCCATTACCACAGCAGCTGTCACACTCCCCATTACCACACCAGCTGTCACACTCCCCATTACCACACCAGCTGTCACACTCCCCATTACCACAGCAGCTATCACACTCCCCATTACCACAGCAGCTGTCACACTCCCCATTACCACACCAGCTGTCACACTCCCCATTACCACACCAGCTGTCACACTCCCCATTACCACACCAGCTATCACACTCCCCATTACCACACCAGCTGTCACACTCCCCATTACCACACCAGCTGTCACACTCCACAGCAACTAACAATTTACTAACAAAATTTGAAGAATCATTGCCAAAATTGTAACTCACCCCTGGACCATAATTTGGTTGGAAGAGAACTCTCGAAACCTATGAGAGTAACACATAGTATAGAAAGTCATTTATATTTGGCCTCTACAAGGCACAAGATCAAAATCGAGAAAGAAGGTTAAGTTCATAAATGGGCTCCTACAAGAGTCGAATTCAATATTCGGAGAATTCACAGAAACTCACATAGGAGATTACATGGACATTGAAACCTAGATTTTAAAATATAATTTATGTAGATGTGATGGAGTAAATAGGTAAAATGAAGGAATTGGTCAGTGTATTAAAGAGGAAGTTCTATGCATCGTTATTATACAACCAGACATATGTTACGTTGAGGAAATCATAAAACAGATGAAAAATTGAAAATTGCCACGATAATTTAGAAAATCCGGGTCCGAATATTATTTTCTTTCGACACTTGAGTGTTCCCAATTTAAAATAGAGATTATCACACAATAACAGTAAAACGGGAAATAAACCCGGAAACAACCAATCACAGGTCAGAATACTGTTCAGATTCTTTGACAAATTTCAGGACAACCAGCAGCTAATAGAGCTAACTAGGAGCTAAAACACTCTCGATATGATCTTCACAAACAATGAAAAAAAATATCAGAAACACCTCAATCTCAGATACTACAAACTCAGATCACAAACTCATTGAAATTCAAACAAACATTATCAATACTCGTCATTTGTCCAACAGGAATATCAAGCGAGAGGGGCTGTTCATAAATACAGTTTTAACACTAAGAGGATTGAATAGGGAAAATAAAACAGAACTTGCAAACATCTAATGTGGAGCCGTCTAAACTACCAAAGCTCCCACGCAAGAAATTGAATAGTTGACTGTCGAACCAAACAAAGTCTGCTTGAAGCATATGTTCCTTTGTAGCAGATAAAAAACAATACCAACTTTAAAAGGTAAGGCAGACGACATTACAGACGAAGGACATTGATAAATGAAATGCAAAAAAAACGACATAAATATTCCAAGAAAGGAGAGTTAATTTAACCAGGGAGATTGATGGATCTGAGCTGAAGCGATCAGACCAGACCAGAACACTTGCAACTGGACGTGAACCTATACAAGATATATAACATTTGTTCACAATTTGTTCACGTGCAAAATCAAAGTCAGAAGCCTCCACCGGTATTGAACCTCCCCTTTCAAGCAAAGTTTCATTAATAAAGGACGATAAAAAATTAGTTAATTGTTTAGCACCCTAATAAACAACATGAAATCTGAAGATGCAGACAACTTCTTGTTGTTGCCGCCATAGGCGCTAAGTTTATTTGCACCCCATGCTCATCTTGTGAGCCGCAGCGCAAAAAAAAATTACAAAAGGTCTTAATCAGTTTCTTTTGAAAAATTTCTAAAATTCTGATAATATGACTCATATTTACACCAGGAAAGAAAACTTTGCAAGATAAATTGACAACATACCCATGAAGTCAGCCCAAGTTCCCAGTTCTTGCAATTTCATATTTAGAAAGAAATGTAAAATATCAGTAGCATGATTGATCAGTGTAGTATGGATAACAATCTTAGATACAGGTGAGATACCAGAGAAATGTTCATCAGCAAATATCGCTCCATTGAACAAAGTAAGTAGCAAAACATTACCTAAGAACTTCAGAGAGGTCGCACTAACATCACACATAATTAATGCTTTGTGAAAGTGTTTAGGAGTCAGTGAACTTTACAACCGAGGTCAGCATGGATTTAGAGCGGAGAGATCCTGAATTTTGCAATTAATCACGGAAAGAAAATGCATATGTTGTTTACACGGGCTTTGTAAAGTAATTTCATAAATGTAACCAAGGATTGGTTGCCCATAAAATTAAAACAACAGAAATAACAGGTAAAGTAGGCCGATGGATATTTAATTTCTTGTCAAACAGAATGCAAAGAGTCAATCAGAGGAAATCAGGTCCAATCACAGTGAAAAGCTTGGTAAACCAATATAGTATCAGCCAGGAAAATGAAAAACTGGATAATGATTGATTTGATGATTTGATTGTTGCCGCCGGAGGCGGCTAGTTTATTGTGCACCCCATACTCATCCTGTGAGCGGTAACGCAAAAAGGATTACAGAGGGCACAAAAGGTCTTTATCAGACCTCAACCGAGAGATTATTACATTAACAATTACATCTATCCTTCACACCTTATAATTTCAATATCAGCTAGTTACAGAGAATGTTCTATTTCAAGAGCTATATATTTACAGTAAATCATTATAATTTAATGGTAGGTCTTATCGCTGCTAATACAAAATTCTTTGAGCAATGGAGATATTACAGTCATAGGGGAGCTGCTGCTTGAACCTTCAGGTCCTGAGATTCCACCACAATGCTTCTACTATTGAGATCATTTGTACTTTCCCGCCTTGAGTACTGCTCGGTACTCACTTTCCTTTTCAAAGCAGGAGATAATTCTGTTATAGAGGGAACACAGAGAACATACACAGAACGCTTAGACACGATAAAGCACCTAAATTATTGGAATCATTTCAAGGCTCTCAAAATATATTCTGTAGACAGGGGATGAGAGATACATCACGTAATATATAGATGGGAGATACTGGAAGGTCAGGTCCCATGTTTGCACGGTAAAATGACAACATGCTGTATCGAACAATATAGTATGAACACAGAATAGAGCCAGTGAAGAGTTAAGGTGCTATAGGCACAGTCAGAGAACTGGAAGAACATCAGGGGCCAGATTCACGAAAGCACTTACGCAAGCACTTACGAACTTAAACATTTTTTCACAATCTTTGGCGGCTTTGTTTCCAATTATTAAACAGTTAATGAGCTCCGAAGCACCAGGAGGATGTTTATAACAATAACAACAGTTGAATGGGAAGTTTTCATGCTTGTAAACTGTTTCATAAATGTAACCAAAGCCGTCAAAGATTGAGGAAAGGTGTACACGTTCGTAAGTGCTTGTGTAAGTGCTTTCGTGAATCTGGCCCCAGAGTTCGACAGCTATTCACTATCCTCCTAGCAAACATTAGAAATATTGCCGGAAGAAAATTTAGTGTTGTTTAGTGTTGAAGAAGAAATTAGACACTTCTGCAGTAAGATCAACCGGGTTGTGATGAATATTTTGGCCTGGAGGCCGCTCCAGGCAACAGCCTTTTGGACCAAGTTATTACAAGTCATGTCTGGCCCTGGGCAGGGCTTGGGGAGTAGAAGAACTCTCAGAACACTCTCCAGGTAGTATATCTACCCTCAACGCCAGTCCTATCTGATCCACAACTCTAAGTTGTTGTGTGAGCGTTGAGGCCTTCAAGTACTGCTACCACTAGTTTCTAACATGACTACTGTTAACTCCCTGGTGTGTAGTAAACTCTGGGATGTACGAACAGCAACAATCAACAAAGCTTAGCTAAACGTAACGCTTATTTCAGTAGTCGGCGGTAAACTGGGTTATTGCTATCTCCCGAGGCTGGGCTCCCGACATCAGAATGCACTAACAGTTACATCTAATTGGGCTAAAATTATCTTCGGTTTGTGTAGCCATGTGAAATATACACTTATGTCCGCACCTTCGCACACTACAATAAAATCCGGTTCCTGAACGTATCGGCATCCGGAGGCGAAATGTTGTTCTGGCCTGATCATCGGCGGTGTTCATCTTCCTATGTTCAGTCTCATATTTTAGAGTTGGTTTTGTTAGAGTCGGCGGTGATGATATTTTACCCTCAAAATTTAGAATTACGGCGTTGATCTATATGATTAAATTGGAAATGTAATTTGTGGTACTTTTTGGCAGCAAATTTTGCTTCATCGTTGAATTTCGCATTTGAATCTTAAACGTTTTATATATATTGTTTTGTCTTATTATTGTAGCGCTTTATATTTTAGTTTTCATAAAGAATTTTTAGCACTGATTTTAAGAAAATGTAGTTAAGTTGCATAATTAAACATCAATTTATATAGTAGTATTAAATAAATACGTTTCAACGTTTAATTTTATAATTTTAGCCTTGACAATTGAATTTGTAAACCAAATTTTGAATTAGTTCACTTTGAGTCATAAATGCCAGATTGCACAGACGTGGTGCAGGGAACAGGGCAACCTGATGATGCTAACTTAATTGATTATCCAGCGCAAATTCAATAGTATATCTAGTGGTAACTTAATGAGGTATCTAACAGTAAATTTATGAGCTATCAAGTGTTAATTTAATGGAATATTAAGTTACTCTAACTGTATAGACTATCTAATGCTAACCAAATGGAATGCTCAGCGCTAAATTAATGAACTCTCCATCGCTAACAGAACTGAGAACAACCCATGCTAACTTAGCAGACTGTCCAACGTTAATTTAATCATCTGTTTATCAGTAGCGTAATTCACTTTGTGGCCCTAACTTCATATAAAGTGCAGCTCTATGTTAATAGTCTGTCCAGCGCCAACTTAATGAAATGACCATTACTGGTCAGGATTTCCTTAATGAACTGTCCAGTGCAAATTTTAGTTTAATATCCAGTGGTAACTCTTTAGTTGTCCAGCGTAGTCTTTGGGTGTCCAGCGTCAGCTCACTGGGCGATTTAAAGTTATATATATTGGATTGTTCAGCAAATAAAATCGAGTTTTGCCGTTATATAAAAAAGTAGCAATTGCCAAACAGATACCGCCAACCACTATTGAGCAAACACCACCAAACACTGGCCAAACATATTCTAACAAATATGCATCCTCAAACTAATAACCTAACAAACAAAACACCAACAATCATTTCATGTAATTGTTGTCATATAATGTTATGCTCAATGTTATATGGAGGCTGACTCCATACACACGTTCAAATGTAAATATGATAGACCCAAATAGGCTCAAAAAATCTGTCCACCAGTTGATTGACGGTTGAGAGGCGGGGCCAAAGAGCCAGAGCTCAACCCTCGCAAGCACAACTAGGTGTGTGTAGAACTCGGTGA